TTCTTTTATTATATATATATATAATAAAAAAAAAAAACACTAAAATTCAAAATTTAAAATAAAATGTAATTTGTTCCTTAAAAAGCCTCATATTTTTTATAAAAAAAGCAACTAAAAAATTCCTGTTAAACCACCAAATATTAAACCCAATTTTTATTTTATCCAAATTTCAGTATATAAAACGATCAACCCCTCCTCCAGACCCAACTTCCTAAAATCTCTAAAAACAGCAAAATTAAGCCATTATAAATAAAAGATATAAATACATCAAAAATAGGCGAAATATCAAAAATAACAGGCTAAATAATCATAATATTTATCGAAAAAGGCAAAAATATAATTGATTACGAGGAAATAACAACAGCTACATTTTCCTTAGTATCTTTTCCTGAAAAAAACCCCTAAAAAATACACGGATTGACTGTTGCACATGCTTTTATGAGTAATAATTAAGAAAAATAATTTGAAAGACTTATTTTTTTGAGTATGATTTAAGAAGATATTTTTGAAAATTTCAAAAAATCTTTAAGGTAATTCAAAGTTAAAAAAAGATCGAAAATTTTACAAAAATAAGCAATTTTTCCTATATAGGAATTAGGATAAATGATTTTTAATTACTTAAAAAAAGAAGATAAATTCTTCAAAAATTAACCTATATTTTAAGGCTTTTTAAACCTTGAATTTCTACAATATAGGAAAAAATTACTTGAAATCGTCTAAAAAAACACTTTTTCGTAATTTCTATTGGATCCTTTATATTAATTACAATGTTTACCAAGTGTAGATTGTTGTATTTTGGATATAATGGATGATTTTTAGGTTTTTTTGGATTAAAATAATACTAAAATTACCCAAATATGGCCTTTTAAGCCTATTTAATGCGACTAAAAGGAGATTTTTATGGTCAGTTATTAATAGATAAGTGAGTATATTTTCTAAAAGGAAGATCTGACGTATATTTTTGAGGATTTTTTAAAAACAAAGCCAATATCTTTAGAGAAGATTATAAATAGCAACAAAAGTTGTTCTTTTGGCAAAATTATTGCATCAAACGGATACATTATTAATTTTGAAGCAAGTACAGCTTTTGGTAGTAGTGGAGCACCTTTAGTGGATTTAGAAGGAAATTTAGTGGGAATTAATACTGGTTTTTTCGATGATTTAACGGAATTCGAAGACGTTTAAGGTAATTACTAAGGGGATGATTTTTTTAATTTGATATTAATGTAGATGAAAATATAGGGAATTATAATAAAAATAAAATTTTAATTGTGGTATCGATATTTAACATGTTATTTTTAAAGCTTTTTGCTTAGGAAATTAAGATATTTTTAATGCTATATAAGAGCTAAATTAAAATGAATTGAGAAAATCTGTTCCTTAAAGAAAATATAGGTATTCAATCTCTAATGTATGTAATAAAGAAAATTGAGTTTATTTTATTTGTAAATATATATATATTTTTTTAATATTTATTTTTATAAATAAATAAAGGTATTTTTTATTTTCTCTAAAATAATTATATTATATATATATATATATATTTAAATATAAATAAATATATATTAATATTAAATAATATTTTATGTATAATTTTATTTTTTATTAAGGTTATTGAATTATTATTATCTTTTTCTTAAAATTTTTTTTTTTTTTTTAAATAAAAAAAGTAAAAATTATTTATTATTCATTCATTCATATTTTATTAATTTAAACTATTTATAATTAAAAATAATAAATAATTGTTAAAAAATATTTAATTTTTATATGTATTAGATTTGCTATTATATATTTAATAATAATTTATATATATTTATAAAATTTATTACTAAATTAAGTTTTAAATTATTTTTATAACGCTTTAGTCTTCATTACTTTTTACGTCTGAAAATGATTTCATTTACTTTTATTTATTATTATATTTAAATTATATGCAATTATCTAATAAATATATATATATATATATATATATAATTTATTTTATACAAAATTATTTTCATTGTCATCATTTTAAGCAACTTCTTCGTTTTACTATAAATGTAAAAAACGAAATAAATTAAAATAAAAAATAAAATACAATATTAAGGCTTATATCTGTTTAACTCATTTAATTTAATTTATCCTATTTTATATTTTTACTATTTTAAGTTTATTATTTATATTATGTAATATTATTGTTACTATAATTATTATTATTTTTATTATTATTATTATTATTATTATTATTATTATTATTATTATTATTATTATTATTATTATTATTAAATTGTCTATCATCTTTGTTATTATTATCATTATTATTTTAATTTTTTTATATATTATTAATATTTATTTCATTTTTAGATTTATTTATTTTATTATTTAATAATTTCTGCTAAAAAAAAAATGAAAATAATTAATCCGAATATTTTTCATCTAATTAATCTATTTAATTCTTTTTATTTTTATAATATTAAATAAAATAAAATATTAAATATTATTATTATTATTTTATTTTATTTATTTCTTTTTTCTTTTTTTCAATACCTTATCTATGCAATTTATTTAATTTGAATCATTATAATTTTATGAAACACAACAACCCATTTATTTATTTATATTTAATTATATATTTTTTATGTTTTTAATTTTTTAAAAGTTTAGATTTTAGTTTTTGTTTTAATAAAAAATAATTTTTATAAAGAAATTAATTAAAATTTATAATAAATTTATTTATACTTTTATTATATATATGAAATTAATTTTAAAATATTTATTATAACTAAAAAAATAATTATTAATATCATTATTCACTTTAATATTCATTAAATTTATCTATTATTTTTTTATTATAATAGGTGAAATTGATATAAATCCTATAACTAAAGTTGTTAAAGTTTCAAAAAATCCCAAAGGAATAATCCCAAAAAGTTTAAATTAATAAAAATTGTAATCTTAAATGATTTAGCTTTTTATTTTTTTAAGATTTAAAATATTATTAGTAATAGTTTCAATTTAAAATTCTTTTTCATTCAAAAATTTTTTACCATTAAGGGCTTTATCCTCTAAAATACACTAAATAGATCTATCTTATATTTTTTAAATTATATTTTCATACATACGTGACCTTATATTAGACTTTTCATTAAAATAAATATCATACAAACAGTTTAAATCATCATATGCATTAATAATCTATTAAATAAGATTTTATTAATCACTATACAAATTATTAAATTAATCCCCATCATAAATTCTAATAAAGAAAAATAATGTAATTAGTAAAAAATCTATACTTATATGAATTAGAACTATTGGATCTTAATATTCTGATTCTTTTGAAATAATAAAATCGAAGTCTCCATATAAAGATGCACACAAAAGTATAAGAAAAATATAATAAAGACCTATTCAAATAAATAAATAAATATAAATATTATATATAAATATATATATATAAATGTATATATATATATATATATCAATTTCTAATATATATTTCAATATAATTATATATTTAAATATATAATAACCTAAAAAAATATAGCTTATTTCTATTCTCTATGTATTTTTTACATCTAATTATTAACATATCCTTCTCATATTATCCCATGTTTCAAGACTTTAAGGACATGTTATGTCTAGTTTATTATCATGTTAGTGCTTTCCTAAAACTTTAAAAGTATTTTTTTCGCCTTATGTAAATTTTATTAATTAATTTATATTTTATAAAACTTAAATTCTTCTTTTTAAATCTTGATTATTTAAGGTTATAAACCATGCATTAGATATATAAATATAAAACCCTGTAATAGCCACTACTACAAATATATTTATCTTAACTTTTTTATAGACTAAAAATAGTACTGGAATCAAGACTTTTAAGAGTAAAATTAGAATAATAAACCTTAAAGGCGCTGTTGTTCTTTAAGATTTAACTACAGATTTATAATATGCCAAAAATACAAAAGTATTTCCTTTTAGATTGACCTGAATGCCTTATTTTAACAATATTTTTTAATTTTCGTTTTCTTTAAGTGAGTTTTTTAGGTCGAATTTTTTGCCTAAAAGATCGAAATAAAAGAAAGAAAGATCAATATTTATTTAATATTCTACAAATTCGATTGTATCGTAAAATTTGTGAATAGGA